ATAGTTTCTCATGAAACAGTAGTACACATGTTGTTTTATGACTTTGGTTAACAACCCCACAACATATTAACCCTCTAAATTCTCAACCTTTTTTCTAGTCCAGAAGTTTTTGGAAAAACACTTTTTTTTTTTTTACTTGCCCAGAGAGAAAGAGAACAAATTACTCAGGGACACCTACTGCTTCACCAGCCAAGAATGAGGGTCTCGTGGTTTTCCTAAAATGATCCTGAATTGACTGCCGGCGTGAAAAGGAAGCACGACATGGACTCACTGCCCGTGGGAGAACTGTGCACAACTCTCACAGTCCCAGAGAAAAGCATCATTATTTTGAAACACGGAGCAGCACTCTGCTCATCAGATGCCATCGGATCTCTCCTGAGTCTTTTCCAGATGACTCAAGACAGACTGCTGTGCTGAATTTGCGGCCTGAGTGGTCTGTGCAACGCTCCAAGGAAGAAGGCAGGCTCTAAGATGTGCAGGGTACAGAGAGGCTGTGGATGCGACCATCTCACCCAGCGCAGTCTTCACCCACAGCTACCTCATCCAAAAGCACAATGTCCGAGCAGCGGACTCACCCTACTCAGGCCCCCAGAATGCAATACTCCATAGCCTGGCACCCTGTGTGAACGCCCTCTCCAGCACCTCCCCTTTGTATAACACAGGACTGTGTGTTTATGGCCACCTCCCTCAACACACTGTAAACCCTAGGAGGACAGGAACTGTGTCTGTGTTATGCCCCCCCGATGCTCTGTGCCATCCCCTTGACTGAGAAGACTGAGTGTCCACTGTGTGCCAGCTACAAGGAATGAGTGGACTTCTGCTGGACTAACGTTTTGTCAGCAGGAGCTGTGTTGTTAGCTGCTGTCGAGTTGGCTCCAACTCATGGCAGCCCCATGTATAACAGCGAAAGGTTGCCAGGTCCTGTGCCATCTTCATGATTGTTCATATGCTCGAGTCCACTGATTTTAAGTGGCCAACGGGTTAGCCATTCTCTGATCACTCTACATCTATTCCAAGGCCTCACTTCCACCCTTGACTTCCCATTCACTGAGGAACGTTCAGCCTGTATTTTTGTAATAAGAGGTAAAACCAGAGTGATGGAATCAATCATCAATACTTACATTTTCAATACTGTTTCTTCTGCCCTCACTGTGCCTCTCAGTTTCTGTGTTACAATGAATTTCTAGAATTCATTTCTTTAGGAAATCCAAGGGGCCATTGTGATTTTAAGGGCCCTCCAACCTAGGAGGCTTATATTCCAGCACTATAGTGGACAATACTGTTGTGATCCATTGACTAATTTTCAGAAGTAGGTTGCCAGGCCTTTCTTCCTAGTCTGTCTTAGTCTGGAAGCGCTAATTAAACCTGTCCACCATGGATGACCTTGCTGGTATTTGAAATAGCGGTGGCATAGCTTCCAGCATCAGAGTAACACACAAGTCACCACAGTACCACAGACTGACAGATGGATGTGTGAAAATAATACATCTAAATGAGCTTCTAAGTAGATGGCATTTTTCTATCCACACTGTTGGCTAGGAAAATGTTTCTAAGGATATAGTAGTAGCACTGTCCCTGAACCACACTTACCACATGGCCTGGACAGACACGGGCTTAAAGACGTGCAGCCTTCCCGCTGTGCTCACGCTGAATCCACTGAGAGAGAAAAACAAAAGGAGAGACAGCGTGGTGAGAAACCAGGCCCTGCAATCAAACCACTTCGAGATGACAGGAGCAGGCCCACCACGGGCACTCCGAGAACAAGCGTGTCTCTCCTGCTGTCTCATGAGGTTCTATGGAATCTGCTGATGCAGAGACAGGACGAGAGCAGAAAGAGATACATTCCCAAATTATGAAGACTTGTTTTTCACCCAGCAATGTGAGTTCTACCAAAAACTGAAGGCCTGGCAGAGTGCAAGGGATCGGCAAGTGTGTGATGACTTCTTTTTCCTTCCCCACAGCTGTTCCACCCCACCCGCTTCTTCCCGCTCTGTACACCCCCGCTTCTTTTGGGTAACTGCATGGAAAATACATGAATGGAAAACACTAAATTTTTCAAAACGAGTATTTCCTCCTAATACCACCACTTTAACAAAGCAAAATTTAGTTTTTCCCTTCCTGTCCTATCTATGAGGCAACGTAACTTTTGCTCGCCTGCAATCCCAGTGTAGAGGCAACTTCCTATGCGGCTTCTTTCATCAGAGCACCAGGTATTTCCCCCGGGAGCTAACGCACGCTGGACCCAGACAGCCCTTCATCCCTTGTCCACTTGCCCAGGCCAAACAGAATAAATTCCTCCTCTACAGCCTCTAGGTGGCACCTGAAACCTTGTTGCACCTGTTGGTTGTATGTCTCTCCCCCGATGCTCACAAGGACTGTGAGCAGGTGCTGTGGCATATTCACCTGTGGACCTTCAGGGACCAGCCGTGTGGAAGGCACATTGTGAGTATCCACTTAACAAATCAAGGTAAACGATCGAGTATTGTTTACTCTGTTGCTTTTCTTCAACTCTGTACAGTAGTAGCAAGTCTCCTATAACATATTTCCTCTGATACTTCAAGACCTGAACTCCCTTAGATAACGTCCAAAACGTACCCTTCCTTGTGCAGCTCACGACAAGCCAATATTATTTCTCCTAAGGCTGCTAACATAAAGGTTGACAGTTCAAACTCACTCAGGCCACTCTACGGAAGAAAGGCCTGGTGATCTGCTTCCATAAACATTGCTGCCAAGAAAACCCTATGGGGCAGTTCCCCTCTGTCACATGGGGTTGCCATGAATCGGAATGGACTCGACAGCAACGGGTTTGATTTTGTTGGTTGTGATAAATACATCACATGGGTGGTTCTGCCGCTAACGTTAACCTCAGGATACCCAGACCAACTCATGTTTCAAAGGCATGTTTGAAAAACTCTTTTAGAAAACTCTCCTTACCCATCTCCGTCCAGGTGGATTTTCGTGTCGCTCCACAGTCGGAGCACCATCCCGATGGTGCAGCTTTGACTACATGGGAGGAAAGAGAAGATGTCTGGAGTTAGCATCCACTGGCTTACCCTCGCAGTCCTCCCTCTCTTGGCCTCTTATCAGCCTTTCCAGCCCATGACAGGTGACACTACTCCACCTGGGACAGGCTGCTAGGCTCTCTGGGCAGGGACCATTCACCACTGAATTCCAGAAGACACAGGTCTGGGATGGTAGCTCTAGAGGGGGGTGCCCTGTAACCTCTGCTTGGACCTGCTTCTCCTAGAGTTGCCCCCACATTGGCTCCCACCTGTGGTCAGAGTCACGGAGTGCTCTGACTGACCCCATCATGCCACAGACAGAAGGTAGTAGCAAGGAGCCACCAGCTGACCTCATGCCAACATTGCAGTGGGGGCTGAAGCCACTCAGGGTGGGCATGCTGCTGGCAGAAGGCCATTCACACTCGGGGGCACACAAGGAAGGCATGGTGACCTACTCCAGCCTCCTCTGTTCTAGCAGTACAGGGGGGAATGCTAACACCATTATCGGGGTTCGTTTTTGGAAATAAAAGCTTTTGTGTTGCTGTTGTTTTAAACACCAGCTTAATCTGGTTTTGCTTTGCCCATCCCAACAGTGAAATGATCCTGAACGACACTAGAGACGGGCGCCACTGGAGAATCCAGAGCGGGAGGGAGGGCTTTATCAGAGGGTCTCTTCAGATTATGATGAAAACCCTCTAGGCATTTATGAAAGAGTCGTCTTGTGAGAAACCGCTGTAACCACGCCAAGGGTCAGCACTGACACCCACCAGCAATCTGGAACTTACATCTCTGCTACCACTTAACAGCGCTTCGGGGAGGAATGTTCTGTGCCTGCTCTCTGAGCCAGACCCTCCCCCAGAGCAGTGCCAACCTGGCAGGCTCTTTTCGACCCTCTGCTTCTGTCTCGCTGGGTGAACTGGTTTCAAGCCCTTTAGATTAAGGCAAATTCTCAGGTCCCTCCCTGCAGTCCTACCCATTCCTGATGGGTAAGAATTGGGTTTCCTTTGTAGAGCTGCAAAATAAAAATCACACTAGGCTCAAGAAGCCCCTGGGGCTACTCGGCTGTGTTGGTGCTAGGAAGAGGCAAGGAGGAGAGCACTAGGAGCCCAACATGGGCCTGCGACAGGCCTAGGGGAGCCTGCGGTGAGTGCTCTGGACCACGGTGGGCAGGCCTCTCTGCAGCACTGACTGTCCACACCAGGGGCGGGTACTGACATGTGAAAACAGCCCAGACAGCAACAAGGAACACAGGATCTGGGAGCCCAAGGCCCTGGCCCAGCTGAGCCTGGCTTTCCCGTTTGCTGGCTGGAGACCTTGTCTGAGGAGGAATTGTCAGGAGGGGATCCTTCCTAGGCAGGCACAGGCCAAGGGCTCAGAGTCCAAGCTGTCCATGTGACACAGGGACAGCATCCAAACTGTCCTCCACTAGATACAGCGATGAGGAGGATGCTGCTGACCGTGCACACACGGGGCACAGGTCCACAGAGGACTTCTGCACACTCTCAAAACGGAGACAGAACAGCAACCAAGGTCGTGCCTGCGACAACTCTGCCAACTCCCGAGCATCCCCATAGCTGTTATTTTGTGAGCTTCCAGCATTTCTTAGTGATTGTTGTTAACTGCTATCGAGTTGGCTCTGGCCCATGGTGGCTTTATGTATAACAACGAAACGCTGCCCAGTGCCCTCGGTGATTAAGAGGACAATCTTTACAATGAAGCAGGGTCTGTGTGTTTATATACAAGGGAAGAAGGAAGGAACATGCAATGAGGGAAACTGAGTCCTTTTAGATGAAGAATGACCCCACAGGATAAAGTGGATCGGGACAACTATAAGGGAAGAAAGCAGGTTCCAAGGCCCTGGGGCCTGGACCACCAGGGAGAGAGAAGTCAGGTGACCTGCGACAGGATTCAAGGTCCAAGCAGAAGGCCTGTCATGAGGTCCCATTTGTGGAGGTCCCAACAGACTGTAAAACACTAACAAAGAGAGGACAGCTTCATATACTCATGACGCTCAAAATGTTCCCACATCTGACACAAAAAAATAATCCAAGATGAAGCCTATGGGGTGGCTGTTCTGGTCCCCTGAGGAAGCAGGTGCAGAGACAAAACTCTCGCAGTGAACTCGTGGGCCTGCTGCAGCGTCACCATTCCAATGCCAGATTCTGTAACGCAGTACTGGAGTCCCTCTCACTGGAACCCACTGACATCATCCTCTGGGGGCAATGCTTATCTCTCTTGTTTTTTTTTGGAATAAGGAAACAAAATCTCACGGCAGGAATTTAGAAAAACAAGCGTATCATGCTCTCTGCAGGCCAAAGGCTTCTGGTGAGGACCAGGACTTCGCTTCCAAGCCAGGGGGTGAATACCAGAGCCTGGCACTGGCGGGTGGGGTGTAGAAGGATGCCCAGTTCCTGCTCCCCTGTAGCACATGGGCTTGAAGGATGGCTGCTTCAGGTCTAACAGTAGGAAGGTCTCCTCAGTCCCCACGTACCCTCGGGGGGCCCTCGATCCCCCTCCTCTAACCATAGGGGCCCAGCACTGACCTTGGATGTGTGCCTGCAGCAGGCTGTGGCTCCGGCTCAGAGAGCTGAGGGGGGCGGCTGGCCCGGGAGCACAGTGTGCAGTGGGGGCAGGAGAAGCACAGGGGGAGGCGGTCATGTGGGACTCAAAGCCAGGGTGCAGAGGGGAGGGAGGGGAGGAAAGGACTGAAGGGAAGGGCACTTCAGAGTGTGGGTGGGAATGAGCACCCAGGCCTGTCAACCCAGCTGGCTGAAGAGTGAACTTGGGGTACACATGTGAGTGTCTAACCATACATTCATGACCTTGAGATTTCAAACTGTGTGAGAGCATGGGCCACCTCTGTCATGTTCCTGATGCAACCTCAGGCCCCAGCAGGTGCCTGGCAAACTGCAAGTACTAGAAAGTACACACATGATCCATCTATGAATGGATGAAAGCATGAACAATGGGGTGTAGATGAGAGAGCTCCAGTCGGCATATCAGGAAAGGAAGAGTGGGTCTACACTGCAGGGCTACAGTAAAAGACCGCAGTCTGAGTCCCAGCTCTGCTACTTGCTAGGATGGCCTTGGCTCAATCACTTCAGGCGCTCTGAGCTTCTGTTTCCTCATCTGTAAAACATGACTTAGGGAGACCTACCCCCAGAGGGAGCTGCTGGGTGGCGCAAACGGTTATTAACATACTCAGTCGCTAACCAGAAAAGTTGGAGGTTTGAGTACCTCCAGAGGCGTTCCTGAATAAAAAGGCCCGGAGATCTACTTCTGAAGAATCAGCCACTGGAAACCTTACGGAGCACAGTTCTATTCTGACACACATGGGGTCACTATGAGTCGGAATCGACTCAGCAGCGACTGGTACAACTGGTACCCCCATAGGGCAATTTAAGGATTAAATGAGATGTTTCTGAAGGCATTTTGTAAACAATGCTGTGCTCCACAGCTTAAGCAACAGAGACGACTGGAGGAGAGCTAGGCTTCTGTGAAATTCCAGAGGACAGGATCGAGATGAGCACACTCCACAGGGAGGGAGACTGCAGTTCAGGATCAGAAAGCATTATTAGAAAGAACCACACAGGGTGAGGAAAGTTCCTGCCCCCAAAGGGATTCAGAAAGGCTGGATAATCATCTGAAGAACAAGTATAATGGCGACAGTGTTAAATACTAAACACCTCTTCGCCCCACAATTGTAAGGAAAATGGCCCAAAAGGCGGGGCCCTGACCATTTCTGAGAGTACTGCCCGCAGTGTCCTCACAGGAAGGACCAAGCCCTGGGAAGAGCCCTAGATAAAGCACCAAGCCCTCGAGTCTCCAAAGAGCTCTTCAGAGCTCGCTTCCAAAGACCTCCAATGTTATGCTACAGATTCTTCTAGATGCTTCTAGATTTCCCAACCAGTCCAAGGCCACAGATTCCAGCACAAACCGTACCTCCCCCTGTGTACCCCCGAGAAGTTTCTCGTTTTGCTATTACATGCTGAAAAGAGTTATGAAAGAAATGTCTGCCTCTTGCAGCTGAGTTCCTTCCCTTTTTTATTCACTTATTTCTAACACGCATGTAGTTACCAGCAGCTGGTCAGCTCTCTCAAAGGAACAAGACAAGACCCCACAGTCATCACGCTGTTCATGGCCTCTGCAACTTTGTTTTCTTCTGTCAGTTCCTCCTGAAAGGCTCTTCACACATCTCCCTGCTCTGCTCCTACCCCTGAGCTTGCCCGATCGCCCACTGGTCCTTTAAGACCTGGCTTGGGCATCATGTCCTCCAGGAAACCTTTGGCGCGCCCTCTCTACGCCCACCCTCTCCTGTGTTCCCACAAAGCCCTGCGGCATTTCTCCATCACTCAGCGTTTATCACCCTAGACTCCAAGTACTTGGTGGTTATGGCTGTCTTCCTTGCTCAGCCGATGGGTTCTGAGGTCAAGAACGATGTGTACTATTGTTTCTTTGTTTATCTGGGCCAAGCCTATTGCCTCATATGCTGGGGAATGCAAATAAATTGTTTGCTTAATGAATGAGTAGGCAAATGAACAATGAATAAAAGGAGTCTATTCGAACATAGTTTTAACAAATCCAGGTTTTGCAATGATCTCATACACATTAATTTATCCTAGATGAGATGAGCTCTTCATCCTCATTTCACACACATAATAGAGTCTATGATATAACTCACTTGGCCTCTAAACAAGTTACTGGGAAACAAGCCTCTCTTAAAGCATCTGACAAAGGATCTGATAACAAGTACTTAGAAATCTGTCTTAGTTATCCAGTGCTGCTATAACAGAGATATCACAAGTGGATGGCTTAAAAATTTTTTTTTGTTTTCTCACAGTTTAGGAGGCTAGAAGTCTGAATTCAGGATGCCAGCTCTAGGGGAAGGCTTTCTCTCTCTGTTGGCTATGAGGGAAGGTCCTTGTCTCTTCAGCTTGTTTCCTGATTCCTTGGAGATCTCCATGTAGCTTGGCATCTATCTTCCCCCATCTCTACTTCCTTAATCTGCTCCTTTTATATTTTCTAAGAGATTGACTCCAGACATGCCTAATCTTGTCTCATTAACATAACAAAGACAACTCATTCCCAAATGGGATTATAGCCACAGGCAGAGAGGTTACGATTTACAGCACATATTTTTAGGGGACACAATTCTATCCATAACAGAACCCATGGACTGTCAATACTGGATAAAGCACTTGATATGATGCCTACCAATCCCATGTATTCCTATAGCACCTGTGTTAAACGTCCAATCACTGTCTAACTCTTCTAGCCTCTCAGCAGCCTCTGAGCATCCTCAGAGCAAAGACTGGGTCTAGCACAGAGCCTGGCACACAGGAGTGGACTTGGTGGGCCCTTCCCTTCCTGGTGCCATGGTTACACCCCGCCGTCTATCATTATGCCTCCCACCATTATCTTCCGCAGGGATGGGACCATGGAGACCTTTTTCCAGTAGCAACTCTTGTTCCCATCTATTATGGACTGAGTGTCCCCTCCAAAATACATACTGAAGTCCTAGTCCCTGTACCTGCCGATGGGATCCTGTTTGGAGATAGAGGTTTTTCTGTTATGTTAATGAGGCCATACCAGAGTAGGGTGGGATATAAACCTAATCACTTCTGAGTTATAAAAAGAGCAGAACAGACTCAGAGACACACGCAGAGGGAAGATGCCACATGAAGACAGACACACGGCAGATGCCTCTAGAAGCCCAGGAACGCCAAGGACTGCCAGCTGGTACTAGAAGCTGAAATAGACAAAGAAGGACTTCTCCCTTGAGCCACACCCTGAATGCAGACTTCTAGCCTCCTGAATTTTGAGAAAATAAATTTCCCTTCTTTAAAGCCGTGGTATTATAACAGCAGCACTAGGTAACTAGGACACCATTCCAGAAGAGAACCACCCTCCCCGTCAGACTCACCTTTCCTTACTGGAAAAGTCGACTCCCAGCAGGATGTTCTCCTCTGTGTCCTGGCGCCCGCTGCTGTACACCACCACCATGTACCGGACGCGGTCGGTCCAGGCGCTCTCTAAGCGCACGGCCTAGACCGGGGAAAGACCTTCCATGGTCAGCCTTTCAAGGCGGTACCCCACATCCCTTGCCAAAACACAGTGAAGAAGTTTTGTTTTCCACCTTTTCCCCCTGTGAATTTAGGAATTAAGATGAAATTCTTGAGGGTGAGAACCATGTCTCATTTAGATCCCTATCACCAGGGACAGTGGCTGGCTCTGAGGGGCACTCAAAGTTTGGTAAGTGAGTGACCAAACGAAATCCAGAAAAGGAAGATTCCAATCTAACCCAGGCTAACAGAAAGATCTGATACATTCTTTCACTGCCCTGCCTGGAAGCTATGCCATTGGTATTTCAAATACCAGCACAGTCACGCATGGTATGCAGGTTTGAACAGGGCTTCCAGACTAAGACAGACCAGGAAAAAGACCTGGCGATCTACGTCCAAAAATAAGGCAAAGAAAGCCCTATGGATCACAACAGAACACTGTCCTATTACCAACAATCATGAAGATGGTACAGGATTCGGTAACACTTCATTCTGTTATATGTAAGGGCACCATGAGTCGGAGCCAACTCAACAGCAACTTACGACCACAATGGAGAGACTTGATACATTCCTCCACCAGCCCTACGGGCCACTGAGGTGCAAACCTGGTTTTTGCTTTTGTCAACAGTTTGGGAAAATTTGTTATGACATAAAACTTCCCTCCTCCCACACACTGTTCATGAACGATTCCCCCCAAATCTCCCAACTAAAACTGAAAACTTGCCCCTCTTATCTCTTCTTACCAGCTTGATCCTGTCTTCACAACGCAGAAGGTTGATCATTACTTGAAGGTGTTGGGGCAAGTCACCTGTTGGATCAACAAGGAAAATATCTAAAGCTCATCTATCTACTTTCTAGGCAGGAATCTATGTGAGACAGACTTTGAGGGCCGTTAGAAGTGAAAATTACCTAAATCGCAGGAGAAACATCACAAAAATGTACAATTTCCATTTCTTTTGCTCCACTCCTGAACATTGTGTAATAAGGGTGGCTTAGACACAGCTTACTGTCGAGCTTTGAATAGTTGTTTTCATTTTCTGAAATACTTGCCACATAGGTTTTGTATACAAAATTTGGAAGATACAGACAAGCCTAGAGAAAAATCTTCTTTCATTCAAGCAACCCTGGCTTTTCAGGGTAGGGCAGTAGGAAGTAGAGACACTGTTGGAGTAAGGGATTTGTTAAGAGTGAGCCAGACAGGAGTCCCCGGGTGGCACAAGTGGTTAAGAGCTCAACTACTAGCTGAAAGGTTGGTAGTTCAAACCCAGCCAGTGGTGTCTCGGAAGACAGTCCTGGTGATCTGCTTCCGAAAGGTCACAGTCTTGAAAACCTTAGGGAGCAGTTCTGCCCTGCACACGTGGGGTCACCATGAGCCGAAATGGCGCCATGGCACCCAACAACAACAGCCTGAGAGAAGGACTGGGGTTATGGACATCACTTTGCCTCTTTAAACTTTTCTGCATTCTTCTGTAAGAGGAAGATATTATTTCTATAACCCAGGGCAAACAGTGGGAGAGAGCTGTGGCAACAGTCTGCCTCTATAAAGATTTACAGCCTTGGAAACTCCTCAGGGCAGCTCTACTTTGCCCTACAGGGTCCCTACGAGCCAGCAGTGGGTTTTGGAGCGGGTTTGGGGTGGAAACATGTTTAAATGACTACAGATAGCAGCTACATGGGTGCCTGTCTTGGTCATCTAGTCCTGGTCTAACAGAAATACCACAAGTGGATGGCTTTAACAAAGAGAAATTTATTTCTTCACATTAAAGTAGGCTGCAAGTCCAAATTCAGGGTGTCAGCTCCAGGGGAAGGCTTTCTCCCTCTGTTGGCCTTCTCATCAATCTTCCCCCGGACTAGGAGCTTCTCTGCGCAGGGACCCTGGGTCCAAAGGACACGCTTTGCTCCTGGCACTGCTTTCGTGGTGGTATGAGGTCCCCCTGTCTCTCTGCTCACTTCTCTCTTTTATATCTCAAGAGATTGCCTCAGGATACAATCCAGCCTTGTAGATTGAGGCCTGCCTTACTAACGCAACTGCTGCCCATTCTCCCTCATTAACATCATAGAGGCAGGATTTACAACATATAAGAAAATCACACAATACCGGGAATCACGGCCCGGCCCAATTGATACACACGTTTTGGGGGACATAATTCAATCCATGACAGTGCCCTTTTGAGTAGAAAGCAATTTATCATTTTCTCTTTTTTTGCTAAAACATTATGTACTTTTTTTTTTGTTATTTAAAAGAGGTAGTAATCTAGAGAGGCGGCTCTCAAACTTCTCTAAGCTGCCTCAAGAGATGCCTCTGGGCTGCAGTGAGGGAAGGACAATTTCTTAAAGCAGGTAAGTCTCCGCAGCCAAGCAGAAGCCACCTAACTGAAGAAGGGCTGAGCGGTCCAGGCAGAGGGGCCGCTGCAACAGAGGTGCAGCATTAGTAAGCAGCATAGCAGGTGTGCTCCACAGGGTTTTTAATGGCTGATTTTTCAGGAGTAGATTGCCAGGCCTTTCTTCTGAAGCACCTCTGGGTGGACTCAAACCTCCAACCTTCCGGTTAGTAACTGAGTGAGTTAATCATTTGCACCACCCAAGAACTCTGACACACACAGGGTCGCCATGAGTTGCAACTGAGTCGATGGCAACTGGTTTGGGGGCAGTGGTGGTTCAGCAGTAGAATTCTTGCCTTCCATGAAGGAGACACAGGTTCGATTCCCGGCCAATGCACCTTATGTGCAGCCACCACCTGTCTGTCAGTGGAGCCTTGCACGTTGCTATGATGCTGAACAGGTTTCAGTGGAGCTTCCAGACTAAGACAGATGAGGAGGAAGGGCCTGGAGATCTACTTCCAAAAATCAGCCAACAAAAACCCTATGGATCCCAACAGTTCCATCCACAGCCCATCATGGAGATGACGCGGGACTGGGCAGCATTTCATTCTGTTGTGCATGGGGGCCAACTTGACCTGACAGCAACTAACAGTAAACACATAGCAGGTGTGGCTCTAATGCAGACTTTTTCCTGTCTTATACTTTTTATTGAATGCCTGCATGGGTTTCTTTCTGAAGAAAATATTCAGCAAAAAAATGCTGATCTAGAAGGTCTAAGGATTAACTCGTAGAAAATCTGTATCAAATACAATTTTGTGAAACACCCCCCCAAAGAGAATTCTCTTTTAAAAAATTACCCTATAGATCATAATTAGAACCCCAGAAGGATCAATGTTGCTTGTATACTCAAATTCTCCAAAAGGAAAATGCTGTGTTTGCTCCTCTTATAAAAGCATCTTTTTAATTTTAAGGCAGCATGACACGGAATGCACAAACTGCACCTCCTGCCCCAGAAAGGAATCAGATCCTCAGAAACTTGCCCATCTTATCAGTTCTCACCAGTGATAGGATTCCACAGTGTAAAACACTGTATGTTGGCACCACCTTCTGTCAGGAATACCTTGGAAACAGTGGTTCACAAAGCAGGACAGGGAGCTTGTCGTCCCCCTTCCCACACCCAAATGGCACCCTCACCTGTTGTGTAACCAGCACCACTGTGGCAAACAACCACCCCAGGTTGGCTCTTAACCTACCACCATTCCACCTCAGATCACAGGATAGCCCAGAAGAAAGCAAAAAAACAAATTCCTTGTCTGATAAATGCTGCAATGACAGGGACATTTTCCACACAGACTTCCTTCTGTGGGATTGTTGGCTGAGGTGTGGAACTGCTCACACACAGAAATCCCAGCCCGTGTGGCATCCACACCAGGCTCTGTAGTTGTGGTGGTCACTCAGCATGGACATGCAGGGCCCACGGTGCCTTCCCCAGGGTCACTGACTGCCACACTTGGACAGCTGGTGGCCTCGGCCCTCCTGAGCTCACCCTCGTCCACACCTCGAGGGCACAGAGCCAATCAGCCAGTGCTTTCCTCCTCCTTTCTGGCCCATTCCAGAGATATGTTGTTGTTACTAGGTGCCGTCGAGTCAATTCCGACTCATAGCGATCCCACAGGACAGAGGAGAACTACCCCATAGGGTTTCCAAGGAGCGGCTGGTGGATTCGAACTGCCGACCTTTTTGGTTAGCAGCTGAGCTCTTAATAACCACTGCGCCACCAGGGCTCCTCCAGAGATACAGGAACAGGCTTTACTAAGGATTTTTACAAAGTGGTTTTGCACTTTCCCAAGCTCACACTCACTAAAATATCCTTTGAAATAAATGAGAATGATGAGACATTGTAAAAAATGTAACCAGTATCACTGAATAATTAGTGTAGAAAATTGTTAAATGGGAAACTAATTTGCTGTGTAAACTTTCACCTTAAACACAATAAAATATTATTAAAAAGAAAATCTCCTTTGAATTAAAGGAAGGAAACACGTTACATCTAGTGAACACTGAGCATTCCCTTTGTTGTATGTGTTATGGTTAAACAAGAAGGACGGCTAAATTCCCAATAGTGCAGAATCACTGGGAAATTCAAGAAGGAAGGTTGTGCTAACAGCTTACTGCACTAGAAGTCACTGTAGTAATAATTATAGCTACCACATACTGAGTACTTATTATGAGGTATGCATATTATATGCATAATTCTTAATTTCCATAAGACTGTGTGAGGTACCAGTATTTGAAGCCCATTTTAAAGACTAGGAAACTGAGGCTAAAGAGACGTAGGATAAGGTGACTATGCCTGCTTAGTAAGTTGTAGAACTGGGACCAGAAGCCAGGTCCATCCTAACTTCTACAAAGCAAATATTTTTTTCACAAATCATCCTGTCTCCTTGTGCCAGAGGATAATTTCTTAGCTTCTAACAGACTTAAATCTTGATGATAAATATCAGTATGTGAAAATATTGATTGCCTTGCTGTTTGTTATAAATCGTAAGACATGAAATTCTAACCTAAGCACTCAGATCCAAAATGAGGCTGGGTAACTTTGGGTTCAGCAAACAAAGTGATTACAGGTGGAAGAAAGCAGGCCCATTGCTCGCTGGTTTCACCTGTGATTCTGAAAGTCAAAAGCTCTTCCAGCTCTCAGACATTCAAATGTGCTGCCCATCCCTCCCTCGACAGGCTATGGCCTTTCCCAAGATTCACTGGTGCGCAAATGCTTTTTGAATTCCTCTTTCCAAGTTGCCTTCAGTTTCAGCGGCAAGCCACCTAAGAAAACCAGTCCTATTACTTTACAGGCATTTCTGATTTGTTTGCTTTTTGACCTAGACTAATACTCAGTTTGGTACTTTTTGTTACTATTGTCCACTTCCAAGAACCAAATCCACCATTAAAGGAGAAAGATTTCCCACCTCAGTGGATGCTCTTAGAGTGCCTGTCAAAGGCCCTTCAAGAAATTCCCCAAGTGGAAGTTTTCTAAGTGCTCAGAGAAATGAGAGTCCCTAGACTAGGTATACAGCACCCCTGGGTGGTCATTTTCAAAGGGACCAAAAACCAAAAAACCAAACCCGTTATCATCGAGTGGATTCCAACTCATAGTGACCCTTTAGGACAGAGTAGAACTGCCTCATTGGGTTTCCAAGGGGCAGATGGTAGATTTGAACTGCTGACCTTTTGGTTAGCAGCCGAGCTCTTAACCACTGCACCACCAGGGCTCCTTCAAGGGGACAGCCTCTGGCTATTATGTGCTCTGGTGCCTTTGTTAAGAAGTCAGACTGTAACTTAAAATCTGCAGTCAACCAAGGGATACACTGAGTGTAGGAAATCTTTACATCCAGACAGGACACTGCTGGCCACCTTATTCCCATGCAGACACGCCTGGTTCAAAAGGCAACCAGACTCACTAGCTCCTAGTACCACCTGGAAGAAAGCACCTAGGCCTCTACCTGCCCCAGTAACGACAAACCTGGATTCCACTAGTTCTCTGGCCTCGAAAACCAGCAAGTTGCTCACCAATAGTGGAAGGTTCCTCTGTTGCACAGAAAGTAAGTTCCGACTTAAGCATATCAACCAAGAGCCATCACCTGCATGCTTGTGCGGATGCTGAAGACTCCGCTGGCCTTGAGGGCTGTTTCCCTGTTGTAGGAAGAGGGCTGCTCCTTTCACCATGAAAAAGCTCTCACTTAAGCTGGGAAGGAACAAAACCAGAGCACGGTTAGTCAGGAATTCAGACAGCAAGATGGACAAAGACTTGCTGCAAAGGAAAACCATAAGAGGGGACAAATGGCATGGAAAATGCAAATAGAATGAAATGGGTTTTAATAATAATTGCACATCATACTTTTCCCAAATCTTTGCTAAAAGCTTGCTGTTGGACAGCGTGCATGATGAAATAACGTTGTTGTTGTTGGGTGCTGTCGAGGCAATTTCGACTCATAGCAACCCTCTGTGATAGAGTAGAACTGGGTTTTCTTGGCTGTAATCTTTACAGGAGCAGATCGCCAGGCTTTTCTCCTGCAGAGCCACTGAGTGGGTTCGAACTGCCAACCTTCGGTTAGCAGCCAAGCATGTAACTGCTGCGCCAGCAGGGCTCCTTGATGAGATAATGCTTTTGCTAAAACACCCAAAGTTATTTCTGGGCTCTACCAGGACCATGCAAAAGGAGCTCACTGTGATCCGGCCTCGTCCAGAAACAGAGAACAACTCTCTGGTTGGGAGACCGTGATCTGCTTTGTGAATTTTTCATACTCTTGCTGTTGATCTTTGTTTCCAACTCCCTGACTTTTTGTTTGTTTCGTTTCTTATTAAACTTGTATAAAATGCTGAGACAGTGCTTGGCACATAAGTTCTTTTTTTAAAAAATAATTTATTTTGTTTTTGTGGTTGTTGAAAACATATGCAGCAGAACATACACCGATTCAACAATTTCTATACGTACAATTCAGTGACACTGATTATATTCTTCAAGTTGTGCAACCATTCTCACCCTCCTTTCCTAAATTGTTCCTCCACCACTGATATAAACTCACTGCCCCCTAAGTTTCCTATCTAACCTTTCGAGTTGCTGTTGTCAATTTGATCCTATATAGATAGTTCTTTTAAAAAACAGAATGCTCAAGGTAGACATTCTTTACTAATTAAGCTATTGTTTCGTTTAAAGAAGACTTCAGGAGACATTTTTGGTTTAAGGTTTAAAGATTATCTCAAGGCAATAGTTTTGGGGGTTCATCCAGCCTCAATGGCTCCAGAAAGTCCCTGACTTTTACCAATCTCAATGTTTCTTGGTGCTTTTCCTTGATGAAATACAAGGGAGATGAAATGACATTTTCACTCTTTGTTTGCATGTTAAGGAAAGCTACTGCCCTTATGATTTAACTTAGAGTGGCTCTGTCCACTATTCCTGCAGAAAAGCAAAGGTGGCCCAATGAATCTCTCAGTGGAATGAATCTTTGGCCTTTGTTATTGTAACTAGCAATAGCATCTATATTCAACCTACCATATTTTTAAAATTATAATTAAAAAAATTTTCACTTTCAAGGAAAATCTTTAGCTTATGCAGAAATTAAGATTGTATAAAAAGAGAAGCCTTCAGCTATTAATTACTACCAATTATTAAAAAATACTATCAACTCTGAACATTACCCATAAGATACACCAAAATGTTAATGGTGGTTCTCTGGGGGTTGAACTACCTGTTATGATTTTCTTTCTGCTTCTTAGTATTTCCCAAATGTTCTATATTGAGCAAATATTAACTTTCTTAGATGACTATTTCTGATTTTCCAAGAAAACACATACTATATAATGGCAAAAAGTACAGTAAAAAGTATTTTTATTTTTACTAATTTTGTGGAAGATCACACATCAAATTATAGGGAACTGTAAAAATAATTAAATCCCTCTCGAGCAACTAAGCAACATACAAATGAAGGGAAAATCTCTAAGAAAGAAAAGTAAATTTTTTTTTTTTTTGGTAAAATAGAACTCTAGACTTAAGCAAAGAGAGTCCAAACAAAACTACAAGGGTTTTTCCTGTGATATAAAAACCAAGCAAGATCACCTATGTCCCAGACATCTAAAATTAGTAGTTAAACATCCTAATTCTGGAATAAAAAACTCAGCTAAATGTAAACTTTCACTTCAGGTGCTAGGAAAACACACCATAGGAACTAGCATTTAAGTTAGCCAAATCGGGAAAACTGTGATCTTCTACAATGTTAAGTCCACAATAAAATCTATTAAGTTGTTTGAATTCTCTTGCTACAGATAGTGTCTGTTCAAATACTAAATGGTAAGGTTCTCTTACTGAGAACTGGTCTTGTTCTATAATGCTAAGACTTCACATCTGTTTAGCACTTCTTCATCTACGCTCTCCAACATGCTGCCAATCTATCCTGTCCACTCTTGTGTGCTGTTAAGTTGATTTCGACTCACTGCGACCCCACGTGACAGAGCAGAACTGCCCTATAGGGTTTCCTAGGCTGTAATCTTTAATGGGAAGGAGCCCTGGTGGCATAGTGGTTAAGCGCTCAGCTGCTAACCAAAAGGTCAGCAGTTTGAACCCACCAGTCATTCCGCAGGAGAAAGATGTGACAGTCGGCTTCCATAAAGATTACAGCCTTGGAAACCCTATGGGGCAGTTCTACTCCGTCCTATAGGGTCGCTATGAGTCAGAATCAACTCGATGGCAACGCGTTTGTTTTTTTTGTTTAATCTTTACGGGAGCAGATCGCCAGGTCTTTTCTCTAGCGGAGAGGTTGGTGGGTTCGAACGGCCAACCTTTCAGTTAGCCACTTAACCACTGCTCCACCAGGGCCCCTTCCACTCTATTACAGCTGTATATTTGTGCTGTAAGTTTCAAGGGCTGAGGAGCTCAGGATTATAAATAATGAAAGAAATGAGAAGCACCCTTTCTTTGCAGTCTCACCCTCGCCAGGGAAAGTGAAAAGCTCTTTAGCACCCACCTGGCCAGTCTAAGATTCAGGCTGTCTTTTAGCAGGTTGCAGAACCACCTAACACCCTTCCCTTCCACTCCCAGACCTTGTCTTCCTCTCCTTTCTTTGAATTTTACAACCAAGTTGGTTTTCAGAATTCTTCTGTTTTAGACACAGATTAAACCAAAAAAAAAAAAAAAAAAAAAAAAACCTGTTGCCGTCGAGTCAATTCCGACTCACAGCGACTCTACAGGACAGACTGCCCCATAGGGTTTCTAAGGAGCGGCTGGTGGATTCAAACTGCCGGCCTTTTGGTTAGCAGCTGAGCTCTTAACCACTGCGCCACTAGGGCTACAGAAACAGATTACTTACTACTTATTCTTATCAAAACTTGAAAGGGACTACAAAATACATGAAACTTAAAACAACAATCTGTTCATTGAAGCAGCTGGGGAAATCTTTCCAAGGCAACACTAATCTCTTTTGTTCATGAGTTTTTTTAAAAAAGGCGGGGAGGGGAGGGGTGGAACCCATAGTGACCAGAAACTCAAGCGGTATGGAAATAGCCTACCACTAACGTGGCCTTTGCCTTGGAAATCACAGGCAAAAATCTCCCCTTAGTGTCCCTTACATTTCCTTTGGAAAAAAGAACAATGCGAAAGAGGGGGCAAGTTTTATCCCACAATCACTTACAAGGCCAGTTGTTCCTCAGTATTCCTGGGGCTGATAAGAATCAGTGCCTTCACCCCTACATACGAAGTCAGGGGGACTGTATTGATCAGGGTCCTGGAGCATTTTGCCTCTGTTCTCCTCATGACAACCGGGAACAGGCGTTTACTGCAAAGAGCAAGAGTCCAAGCTGCAGGGAAGCCCGAAGAGCACATTATCCAAAGCTGTGTGAGATCAGCCTGTGCCTTGGGAATACAGTAAGCGGATACGGCGGGAGGACAACCACACAAGATGACTCTTGGGGCTGAGATGCATGGGGGTGGGTGGGTGGGAGGCCACAGAACACAGTCACAGGACTTATGAAAACAAGATGCAGAGATTGTTGGTGACCTTGTTTCCCGTCTTTGGGACTGAGTTCACTGCAGGCCCAGATCCCCACGTGCCCTCTGGGTGGCTGACTCAAACACCGCTTCCCATGCCAGGACGTCATGTGGTTCCCTTCGCCAGGACCCCGATTCATCAGTCTCAAAGTGCCCCACTGGGGCAGTCCTTTAAGAACCCATGTTGGTGATGACACACACACACTTTGTTCATGTGGCAGATCTTAGGTACTCGGGGCAAGGAAATACAAACCACCCTCCCAGCTCCAGAAAAGCCAGCCTTCCCACAAAGAGTTTTAGCCTCTTAAAGACTGAACAAAGTTACAGAAAGGCAGCTGGGTGGCGCAAATGGTTAAGCGCTTGACTACTAGCTGAAAGGCTGGTGGTTTGAATCCATCCAGAGGCATCTTGGAAGACAGCCCTGGCGATCTGCTTCTGCCAAGAAAACCCTACAGGGTAGTTCTACTCAGCAGACATGGCGTTGCCACAGGTTGGAATCAACTTGATGGCAATTAACAACAACAAAGTTACAGAAAGTCAGGCCTAACCAGTAACACCAAACCCACTGCCACTGAGTCAACTCCGACTCATGGCGACCCCACGTGTTACAGAGCAGAACTGAGCTCCATCGGGTTTTCTTGGCAGTAATCTTTATGGAAGAAGACTGCCAGGCCTTTCTTCTGTGGCGCCACTGGGTGGCTTTGAACCACCAACGTTTCAGCCAGTAGTCGAGCGCAAACCATTTGTGCCACCCGGGGACCTTTTAAGGTCAGACCCAGAAGAAAAAAAAACTGAAATGTTTTTCTCTATGGCTTTAAGAAAAATCCTGATGAAGGGAAAAAAAAAAATTTAGCTGTGGCCCTCCCTACCCCAGCTCCATCCTCAATGCTTTTATTTTCGCATTACAAATACATTCTCAGGCACTGGTTACTGCCATTTTGGAAGATGACCCAAGATTAAAGTTACTACAAAGCATTGAAGACAGACAAAAACCTCAATCAATACTCCTCAAAAAACCCCAACTCTCAGAATATAAACAGCCAGTGTCATCCAGAAACCAATACATGGTAGGAAAACAGAAATCAGCGGTGGTGATACATACTAATTTGAGCTGGAAACTTCTGAAGAGGAGAAGTACTGAGCTGGCTGGAGGAAGACGCAGAAAGGCAGTGAAATAAAAAAAGGTTCATGGCTGCCGTGTCCAC